AATTATGCACATCTGATCACGTGGAAGTAATTTCCTTTTCAATGCGCAGAAGGTCCTTGGCTTTTTTATGTTCTTGAGGGCTATGAATATTGTTGGTAATAATTATTTACTTCTGTTTGTTGTAAATTTTTTTTAAAGTTTATTCAATATATCTTTAAATTTTTCATGGGCGTTTTTCAGAACAGTAAAAGTGCTTCAAATTTCCTTTCCAACATGAGAGAATAAGTCCGAGGATTTTACTTATACTCCAACAGAATCTTCCTTCGTTGCACACCCACGAAAAGCCAGGATTCTTGCCCTGCTTGTAGTGAAAATTTCACTTCAGTTTGAATTAGTTTAAAATTGAGCATCAAAATGAGTTTTGTTCAAAAGATGATGCTGGTCAGCAGCAAGTTGCACAGCAAATATAAGATAGCTTTACCTAAAAGATGTCATTGAACATGAGGCACACCTCGATTTTGTGTAGCCAATTAAAAAATAAATTATTGCAGTTCATTCAGTTCTTTTAGCCAATTCCTTGGCTGTGTTTTTACGCTACTATGAACCACGCCTTGATTAATGCCCACGAAAAATGTCAGGGAATCAAGTAATGAGACGCGAGGCGATAATGAAAAATCGGTTATATATATCGAGACTCAAAACTAAACTACAGGTAACTTGAAGAATTTTATCGCAAGCAAAAACTCATTTTAACGAGGTTCTTCGTATGAAGAGATTCTTTCTACCAAGTCCAGCAGGGATGAGGCGGAATGCCAAGAACCGCCGCAGACGTGATTTGGAAGCCGATCGGAATGCGATCCGGCGGGGGACGCCTTCTTGACCCTGAACCCAACCGCCGCCACCAGCAGCAACACAGAAGCTGTACAAAGAAATTAGGCAAGTTAACATGGCTTGTCTACTGTATGCAGCTGGCCGCCATGATGTCGGTCGTCAAAGACATCAAACGGGATTCGGATGACGTCCGATACACCCGATAAATCAGATCACTATAACTCCAGTTTCCTTTCTCGTCAGAACCTCGTCGTCAGCAAAAAGAAAAGGAAAGATGAAAACATTGATTAAAACAACACATGCTCTGTAAGTACTGTATATATGCGAGTTTTCCTTCCCGCATGTACATGTAAATGCTCTTCCGAACGAATAGGCGCAACCAAGAAAGGATAAAGGAAAACAATGAGAAATATATAACTCGATCGGTACTTCATGCTGATGTATGATACCGTATAAAAATTAATTTATGCACGACCGACCGATTTTCAAACGCAGTTATCTCTTGGAAGCTAAAAGCTAGAATTTCAAAATAAAATTTCACAGATTTGAGGTTACAAATAGTGCATTTCTATGTAACAGTGACCTCATATTGGCGTATTGTTGGTGCTGTACTGGTACTGCAGACTTATAATGTAGCAGTGAAGTACTTTACCTTCATTTTTGCTTTTACATTTTGGGAACACCCAAAAAATTATCACCCGCTAATGTGAGAAATGTGGCAAAGAGAAACTTTGCCTGAACTTTCATCAGAAGGGGAATTGAGCTAGAGTCATAAAAAGCCAAATAACAAAAAATTGTATTACACGTTTACAACAAAGCCAGCAGTTCCAGTGAAAATACCATTACAAAATATTTAAAAATTTTATATATTTTAACCCTTCTGCAGCAAAGTTGGACTTTTTTGCAGATTTTGGCTGCACTCATGAGTGGAATTGAAAAAAACTGCAACAGTGTGTACAGAGCAAAGTCTGGAAAAATCCTGGCACTTTTTTTTTTAATTTTCCACAGAAAAATTTCACCTGAAAATGCAAAAAAAAACTTCAAGTCTCCCTTTTTTCCCCTGGCTTGTTTCCCCATTCAAAGATTGAATTCAAGCTTGAAAGCCAGGAGCCCAGGTTAGAGGTCAATACAGAAAAAGTCCAACTCAGGACTTTCCCAACATTTCTTTATCCATGGATAAAATCCAACTTTGCCCTCCCCCACCTGGCAGGAGTTGCATAACCTTGTGCAAAAATATAATGCAGGCCCATGGGGAAAAAGTCTAACTTATTGCCCTGGGATGGAAAGGAGGCTGCTGCTGTCCAAGGGTTAAGGAAATTCAAAGGTTGTTTTGGCTACTGGACAGACATTAACACTAATTCATTTTGGGAAAGAATTCATCACAACCTAATTTGGTGCAACAAGATTCTCCCACACTGAAGTTTTCAATTAAAATACAGTTGAACCTTGATAACTCAAAA